AGAGGGGGGGGGGGGGGGGGGGAGAAAAAAACATATTTAGTATCCCTCTTTTTCTCTTTATCATTCATTAAATAAGTAAGTATTGGACCAAACTATCAAATATAACTGTATTTCACTGCTGATGTGAAGGAATGCAAAAAAGATCCCTAACAATGGTGATGGGCAAATTAAAAAAATCTGTTGACAATTAAGATTATAGAAAATAGGTTTAGAAATTTCCCAAAATTTGGGCATAGGGAGAGAAGAATAGGCCAATGAATTCTCCCAGCAAGATTATTTGCTATTTCCTTTACTTAGCATTAAATTAACAGCTCCTAAAGAGGCACCTTTCTGCCCCGTGTCTGGTTATTTTAAGCCAGAACTTGGAATGAGAGGCCAAAAGTGGAATTATATCATTCTCCTTTCTAACACCTCTGCATCTAATTCAGCTAGAATTCTAGCAGCATTGCTCTTGGTTTTTTCTCGCTTACTTCCCCTTGTGTTTTCCTCAGAGGCCAGTACTTCGGTGTTCAGTTCTTTACAGACCTAGTAAAAAGTGCAACCGTCCTTTCTACTGCATGGAAGCTCTCTATAATACATGCCTGAAGGGATTAGACAGGCGGGGGGGGGGGGGGGGATGAACTGCTATGTCTATTGAGTATTCTGGTCTCACAGCAAAAACACTACATCCATACTGTAAAAGCAGAAGCCTGTGGAACTGGTTTCTAAACTCTACTGAATACAATATTCAGGGTTAATTGGATATAGCTGCTCCACATCCAGGGGCCTCCGGCTGAGGGGCGAGGGGTGGAGACATTTTTTCCAGCTTGCCAGCTCCTCTATCACATTCAGCTAGATCAGAAACTCACTTTACATGCCCTGGGAAGATATTTTGTTATTTTGATAGCTATTCCACATCACAGTGGGAACAGCAATGGCACATGCTCTTAATCACAAAAAGGCAACTCAAATCCAGCCTCTTTTCAGATAGACTCAGCTGGAAATTGTACCCTCAGCACATAAGGTTCTCTCTTGACTTCCTGGATGATATGGTGACCTCTCAATACAGACACAGTTCATAGGTATACAGCAGCTTCCTTTGTACTGCAAGTCTCACCTTTTTTACAGCAGCTCCTCCCCAGCCCCCTCACCAAGGGGGAGGAAATGCTTCTTTTAAAAAAATGTATCCCACCTGTTGACATTTATGAAAAAATACCTGAAAAGGAAGCAAAGGGAGACCTGGAGTTCACAGGCCACTTGCGGTTCCCAATAAGGGGGTTACGTTGCATAGACTGCCCAGGAAACCCATTAAGATTAAATATAAGGAGGCTGCATAGTCTGCTGGCCAGAGCAGAGAGAATGCTGAGGCTGGGAGATAAGTAGAGGCAGAAGTCCAGGCTCAGCTGTTGGACAGATGACTTGCTCACAGTCAATCTTGTGCTGCAAGCAGAATTACCAATTATAGGTGCTATTGCCCAGTGCATTCCAAATAACGTCCAGAGGGCAGTGTCTGCTGCAAGGAGCTCATTAGCTTCTGCTTAGGAATGCCCTGGCTTTGAGTGGGATGTTCCTGCCTTACAGTTGTGACTGGACAGAATAACCAGGAGGTCCAGCACTAGTTGTGGTCAGAAAATTTCAACAAAACATAGTCTTGATGAAAACTGGAAAACACCGTGAACTTTTTTTTCTTCTAAAGATGTTTTGGTGGGCGCTAGCCAGTGAGGTGCAGCTGGCAGAAGTGTACGCTTTTGAAGGTGAGAGACGCTGGGTTCTAACCCCAGCTGCTCCAATAGAAGGAGATTTAATTAGTAAATGTGTATATCCAACTAGAGGCATATGTATCTTTCATACCAATTATGCATTAGAATACTCATTTTAGGTCTGGATATCTGAATTTTTTCATTTTGAGATTAATATTTTCTGTATTATTCAGGTATGAAATTTTGGAGCTCTTTCCAACTCTGACTTGGCTGCTTCTCCCATATTTGAGAATGCAACTTACTTACACACTTCTATTGTGCTTATTATTTAATGGTTCCCATGACAGAAGTTTGGCCTGTGTTTCATTTCCCATTTGACTTAGGGCCTGGTCCATAGTTCATTTATTTCAAGGGGGTCTTTGGATCAAAACCTCAGTTACTAATCATTCTAGTTTGAGGCCATTTTCTTATAGAAAAGTTCTATGGACTCAGTAGCGATGAATCAAGCAGGATCTATAAAAATTCAATGGGATTGTATAAAAGTTATTAAAAAAATATTTTAGAATTTAATGACAAAGGAGGGCCTTTGTAAAGATATTTTTAACCATCACTTAAAATTCTATAATTCACTATTCTACAAAATGCTTAAGAAGTGCCTTATGGAAAGGTTCTCACTATTTTCCACAGTACTTTTTCATACACTACAGCCTTATGTGTTTTCATTTTTCTATCTTCTGCCCTCTCAATCCCTTATGTGGGCAGGATTTCAAAAGTACAAAGGGTTAGCCTAACTCTGCTTCCATTACAGTGAAAGGTAAGATGGTGACCAAAATCAACATGAGTTTTAACACTAACATCCATGGGAATAGTTCAATTGTGATAAGTGCTTCTGAAAATCCTAGCCGAAGTTCATTTTCTCAGTTCTTCTAAGCTTTGTGTATGATCATTCAGAATATGCAGTCTTTGTTCACATAGTCTCAGGTCAGTAACAGTTCTCTGATTCTAGTCTATGTTGGTCCCAGTGCAGTATGTTCCAGGTGATCTCATCTTAGTGGAGGATTTGTACAATGTAATTGAGCTCATCAAATTACCTTGTCCCCGACATACTGCCTGTGCCCAGGGCAAATGGCATGGGAGCTGAATTTGCACCAGCATGGATTTGCCCTGTTAGCAAAATTCTCCATCAGCCATTTACCACCAAAGTCCAATCCTCCGTATCATTGCACAAGTTTATTTTTCTCTGTTGCCTGTTCCTTTTCTATTTTTCCCCCACATCACAAGGGGAGAACTTACACAATGTCTGCTGCAAACTGTCTCATTCATTTCATTCAGAGGGGGAAAGTAACTACTCCAACTGCCCAGTACAACACAGGTCTGAACAAATCCGTGTTCGGAAATGTGTGCTTGATTTTCAGAAGGTGCTACTAGAAGTGTTAGTGGCACTCCAAATGCTGCAGTGCATTTCTGCACCACAAACACCATTTTATATCCTTTACAAGTGTGCACATCTAACAGCGGACAATAAATCTATCTCACTAATTACACATCCAGGTTGTTATAACCATCATAAATCAAGTACAGCTGGTAAAGCCATAAAATGACGTGAAATCATATTTTTAGTTTCTATAGCGAAACAGTATTATTTTTCAGTTTCTCAATGAAACTGCAATGCCAAGAGCCAAGTGCAGAAATAGTTGTCAAATAAGATATCCACCTGCAATTAGGTAATAATATTGTCTTTTTCCTTCTCCTCATTTAAAAATGCTTGACGTTATGTAGTTCAGTCATTTGAACAGGTATTTATCATAGGAAAATTGCATAGAAATAAATGAGGCATAGGCACTATTATAATTAACTATTTTTTAATTCCTTGGCAGCCAAGTTCAGCATATTTGAAGCTTCCTCTATTAATTACATATAGGGTTTGCTAAATAGATGCCATCATCAGCTTAAATGCAAGATTTTCAATGGTATTTATGTACCCTAAAGACATAGATTGGTGCAAGTAGGCCCTCGTCACTTTTGAAAATCCTCCCATGCGACTAAATACTTTAAAAATCTAGCCTTAAGTGGCCATCTGAGATCATTAGTGGGAAGATGCAATGCTGCATTTGGAAGAAACTTGGGTTAGTCAATATAAAAGGTCTCTTTTAAAAAAGAGATAATTTGTCTAAGATTCTTATGAAAACAATAGACCAGCAGAAAATATTACTGAGTGCAGGCTAGAGTTACTATTTTTCTGGCTGCTGGGGAAGTATTTCTCCTAGGAGAAAGGCCTTGAAAGAACAACAGCTCTGTGTCATATCTAGCCCAAGTGAACAATGCACGCTTTTGAAGAGGGGCTACATACAATATAAGGGAAACTAAATTAAATTTTCACATGTTTGAGGGAAATACCACTGGATTTATTTCTACAAATCCTGTCTGAACAAAATGGGCAGCATCTGTTTGGAAACCTGCCTTATTAACTGCCCCCACAATTCTCAATGCAATTTTGCTTAACAATAATGTTAAAAAAAATATGAATTAAATTTTACCTTCCCGTATCTGGATGCAAAGGTTCCTGTGAGTAAGGAGTGAAAAATAATTATCGTCTCATCCAAATCCCACACAAAGACACGCTGTGATGAAAGAAATGGGGGAGGGAAAGGGACAAATACATTCACATGTTAAGCATTTTCAAGACTGTATTCAATTTTATTATAATAATAATTCAATTTTATATTAGTTGGTTATATCTTTTTTAAGGTAACAAAACCACTTTAAGCACTGATACCTTACTAAGGTTGGTAAAAACAAACAAACAAAACCCTCCCAATTCTGCTCTTGGGTTCCATGTCTGCTCTGATAATCCTCTAACTAACCCAATATGCATAGAAATCCCAGTAGGATATTATGTCAGGAGACAAAATAACAGACTCCAAAGCTGCCTTAAAAGCCAGAGTGCAGAATTATACCAAGACGATTATACTGAAACGATCATAGATGATTATACCAAGACACCCCCATTAACTATACTGATTATACTGATACAACAATCATTATTTCTTTTAAAACTACACCAGCCCTGGTAGCTATAGGCGTAGTTTTGCCTGTGTTTTGACTCTTACCATTCTCTAGTCTAACAAAGGATTTTTTGTAAATCAACGTAGGTATTTCTCTTAGCTGGATTTATGTCAGAAAAGGAATTAATATTATTACCTCAATCTCATTGTCAACTGTAGGGGAAGGATCATTGCTTCTTTTTGTTCGCCCTCGTAACTTTCCATCAGTCCCTCGGGGTTGCCTGTCTGTTTCTGTATCTTTTACTGGTGTGGTTGCATATTCCCCTATTGAAAGAAAAAGAGATCCCACTGAAAACCTAAATTTTACAGTGTATTTCTTTTCGTAAATGTTTCTTGAGATACTTTGTTATTCAACAAGTATCTTTCAGAAAAGACTTGACACCTGCTTTGGTATTTGGTACCTAGGTTACTCCAGAAGCCTTTTTTTTCAAGTTTGTTTCAAAGCTTTGTATTTGGAAGGGTCAAACAATGGAAACATTTCACAAACATTTCAGAAAATATATCAAGAGTTTATTTTTAAACAGATTTCAATTTTTGGAACATTTTCATACTTTTTGAAGTATTTTTTTTAATTCTGGGGTTTCTTTTCTGCCCTTTGCTTTTTCCATTGGAAAAAGGGAAGTAAAAAAGCATGAATTTTATTTCAGTGAATTTTCATTACTAAAAAGGCCATTTTTCAACATCAAAAACTGTTTAAAAACCCAACTCTAGAATACTCCCAAATATATGTGTTTTAGCTATTCGTTTCAGCAGAGGACAGAGGTACAGCATTTTAGAAGTACCAGAGAAGACTAAATCAGAGGTGAAGGTCGCTGTGTAAAGTATCAACTGATAGGATTCACTTTCATAAACACTCTGTATATATCACTTACATTAAATGACAAATCCTTTTCAAACATTTTTCTTTTCACCTTGCTAACTTGTGGCCTCTCAACCCTCCTGGTGTAGATAGACTCTTATTAAGGAGAGTTTGGGTTGTTCCTAACAATCTTCTTTGAAATCACCATTTCTCAAGTAGGCTGAGATAAGATCTAAGGAACAGAAAATCCTCCAACTGCTTTTAGAGCAATCTGTGATGACTTTTTAAAAGCAGTATGCGTTTATTTTTCTTTTTGAACAACCACAGATGTTCAGATTTGTTCCATAAGTTAGTAGACCATACAATGGGTGTATATGGTGATCATCCACAAATTATGTGGTATTTTATATAAATGTTATTGCATGCCAATGAAAACTTTAGTGGGAAAGTGACATCTGAAAGCTGTATTCAGACAGTACATAGGAGGATAATGATCTGTCAGTAATTCCATAGACTGCATGAGCCCTTAGAGTTTGAAAAGTAAGCACTCCGGAAGAGCCGAGATAATTTCAAAACGTATTGATGCCGTATGTGGAATTTATAATTGACATTTAACTCAACCTGTTTTCTCTTGATTTTTTTTTAAAAGAAAGAATAACTGAAATTCCTTTTCACATACTTACAAAGTAACATATTATGTTAGTGGTTAGAAATTAACTAAAAACTAGAAGGAGGCTACAAAATAGGGAACCGTTTAAATTTTGAGCAAGTCTGGATATAGGTTTTTGGGTTCGGCTCATCACTAGTAAAAACTACCTGTCAGCACACTAGCCTATTGTTTAAAAGTCATGAGTTACAATATTTTCCTTTTTTATACCATCTTTTATTTGAAGATGTGAGACCACTCACACCAGGAACACCAATTAAGAAATACTCATGAAAAGAACATAGCTTATTCTTATAGAGCTTACATTTTCTAAATTGTTCTCTAAATTTGTGCCTGCAGTTGTGAGGTCATAGTCAGTCTAGACAACTGGGATGGTGGGAAAACGGGGCAGTTGCTCTGGAGCCCAGTGATTCAAAAGGGCCTGGGGCTCGCGACTGCTCCTAACACAGCAGTGGCAGTGGATGGAGCTTCAGGCCCTTTAAATAGCCACTGGAGTGCCATGGAAGACACTCCAGGTGACTCTGAAGGCTAGTGGAGGCACAACAAGCTCCGGGTGACACTGTCCCACCCCTTCTTGGGGACAGAGCCAGCACCCCCCGACCTTGCCCAGGAGCCCAGCAATTGTCAGCCCCCCAATCATCATCCTTTGCACCCACAGTATTGCACATAACAGAATGTAGCCATGAACTTTAATTTCTTAGTGTAAATGTATATGCTCACAAATCAGACAGCAATGTTGTGACCACAGATAACTGAGCCTATAAAACGGTGAACTGGTTTTAAATAATATAATGTATCCACCTACCAGACAGTGATTCTGTGCTTTGACTGCTGATGTTGTGAGAAGATTCTTGGAGGGAGTAGGTGGATGTTGGGACAGCTGATGGACTGATGCTATTCGCTGATACATACGGAGAGTTGTAGGAAGAGGTGTAATACTGAGAGTACTGGCTTTGAGGAAAGCTTGGATAGGATGAGTATTCCTTTGGGGGAAAAGAGACACGAGTAACCCTTGTGCATCACATGCTTTGTACCAGGGTAAGCTAGTGCATTTAGCAGATACAGTTAAGAGTCGTGGGACCTGGGCGCACAGCAAGTGAGACTGGTGATGTAGTGGGGAGGTCAGGAATATGTCTGCCACAGAACCTTGCGTAAGTCACTTTGGTAGGTATTTCTGCCCCGGACAAGTCTACTTCTGCTTCATTTGCATCAGCAGAATTTGTAAGGAGGCAAGTCGTAACAAGCCCTGCCCTGCCTTTTGCTGTGGTATCTGTTCACCCTGGCTGGCCCCTTTCCAAGCACAGGGTGCAGCAATTTTATGCATGGGATTAACGTGGACTACAGGTTGGACCTTGCTGGTCCGGCATCCTTGGGACCTGACTGATCCCGAACAAGGGGAATTGCCAGACCAGGGAAGGTCCCTCCCCTCAAGCCATGTTGCCACCGGGCTAGAGCTCCAGCCTGCCCCCGCTGCTGCCTCAGCCCCCTCGGGGCTCTCCCTGGCCCTGCTACTGCTGGGGCCGAAGCGCCATGGCCAGAGCTGTGCAGCTGGGGCAGAGCTCCGCAGCTGCCTGGCTCCACGGCTGAGGCCAGCGCTCTGTGGCCGGGGTGGAGGGATGGGGCTGGACCACCATGGCCTGGGTCAGAGCTCCCTGGCTGCTGCTGGGGCTGGAGTTCCCCAGCCTCTGGAGCCAGAATGCGGCTGGAGCTCCATGGCTGGGGCCAGAGCCGGGGCTGGGGCCAGAGCTCTCCAGCTGCTGCTGGGATTGGAGCTCCCTGGCTGGGGCCGGAGGTCCATGGCCCCAACCGGGCTACAGCTCCCTGGCCGCTGAGGCCAGAACTCCCCGCCATGCTGTCTGTCCTCCCCGTCCCACTGCCAACACACACTGGTCTCCCAGCTGAGTCACCAGTGCCCCTTACAGCGCTCCTGCCCCACAGCCAGACCTACCTCTTCCTGGACTCTGTGGTCCAGGAACATCCAGGGTCCAGGCCGGACCACAGATGTTGCCGGACCAGGGAGCCCTGGTTAAGGGAGGTATAACCTGTATTGTTTCAAAAGGGACTGAGATGCAACAGATAGCTGCACAGAGAGGGGAATCACAAAAATATTTGTGCTTTTCTTTTGCCTGTTATCATTGAAGTTTTTGATCAGCTGTAGAACTTGTTACAAAATGTGGAAAAAAAACCCAGCTCTTATATAGCGCTTTTCCTCAGTAAATCTCTAAGCACTTTACAAAAGGTAGGTATCACCATTATTAATCCCAATTTATAGATGGGAAAACTGAGGCACAGAGGTGATGTGGTTTGCCAAACTGGCAAGGGGCAGAGCCAGGAATAGAGCCCATGGCTCCTGAGTGCCCATCTAGTGTTCTGTCCACTAGCTCACATAAGAAAATATTTTAAAGTGTTTTTCAAATAGTTTAGTTAGTGAACGAATCCCCCAAACCTGAAGGAACAGGTGCAGAGCTTCGGAGTCCTCCTGGACCCTTTTCTAGCATTTGAGAATTAGATTTTCTCAGTGGCTGGGAGTGCTATTGGGCAGCTTCATTTGCTCTGCCAGCTGCGACCCTTTCTGAATAAGAATGACCTAGCCATGGTGATTCATGCTCGTCACATCCCAATCGGACAACTGCAATGCACTCTATATGGGGCTGTCTTTGAAGAGTCTTCAGATACTTCAGCTCATCCAGAATGTGCCCACTCAAGTTTTAACCAACACCCACTATACAGAGCACATTATGCCGGTGGTCCGGCAGCTGCACTGGCTTCTGGTTTGATTATGGGAACCATTCGCAGTCCTGGTTATGACCTATGAAGCCCTAAACAGTTTGGGACCGGGGTACTTGAAGGACCATCTCCTCCTGTACGAACCTGCCAGGGATTAAGATCAGCTGGGGAGGTTCTGCTCCGTGTTCCTCCATTTATGGAGACAGGGCTGACATCTACGCAGAGCAGGGCCTTCTGAGCTTTTGCTCCCAAGCTATGGAATTCTCTCCCCTGAGACATTCGCCGGGGCCTTAATCCCAACACACCTCATTGGAACTCAATTCCCAAGAAACATTTTAAACAATCTTGGGCCAGATTTAGCTCAACCTGAAGTTAATGGGAAATGTCCACTGACTGACTAGAAGCTGGATCAGGCCCATCACAAAAACATCACAAGCCCTTCTGCTGAGTTCAGCATACAGCATGTTTCTAGGATCTCAGTGGCAAGGCCTCTCCACGAGGGAGGAATGTATTAAACACTATTTACTGCACTCTAGCATTTAATAAGACATATAGATTAATGAAAAGGACAGCATCAAGGCCAGGAGGTGTAAATTAATACCTTCCAGCTGTGTTTTGCTTTTCAGGAGCAAACATGCCCTTCATAGCCTCCCTCCATTCTGCCTATCTGTTCTTTCTGTGTGAAGAGGATTGATATTCAAATACACAAGATTTCTCCTTTCTGGGCACTTCAAAACACGATTTTTTTTGCGGCGGATATAAATTTGAGTTCCTAATCTATCACCATCAGTGGACCTGAATAGAGAGACAGAGGAATTGGCGTACCTTCATAGTGGGGATACAGGGGTCAGTGACCCCCTAGAACACCGGGCTGGTCACTGGGAGTGTGTTTGACTGTTAATCACTGCTGTAGCCTTCATCTTGGGAGGTTGATGAGGATTCAAGGGTCAGGGAAAGCAATTTAAAACACTCCTTTTATTCAATTAAACAATGGTTTTGCTTTGGGTATTTCAGCCCTGGAAAAATAACTCACAAGTTGAAGGTAGGGTAAATATATTTCCCTGTATGGAATAAAGACACCTGCTAAAATTACTCTTATTCAAGCGAAGTCAATGGCAATCAGACAGAACTGTGCAGTATACATGTTCAAATTAACATGAAGTTGACAAACACTATTAAAAAGAAAAACTGCGTTGTAGGATTTTTAAAGTTTATCTTATCTGTAAGGCTTTAGAGTTCACATGGGAGGGTGACATACCTCCTCCATAAATGGGGAGAGGTCTCTCTCCTCTCACACAGGGCGAGGGACTGATCAACCAACCCTCCCTACCCAGCGCTCTTCAACCTCTGTGCCTGGTTGGCCCCCTGCATGGACCGACCCCTCCTGGTATCTGGCACTTCATCTTCCTGAGACAACATGCTCTCCTCCCGAGATTTCTGATAGGGTTCATACTGGAATGTGACCAGCAGCAGCCTTTCAGCACTGTGCAGGAGGGAAGGAACAGGAGCTGCTTTCAGATACAGAGGAGAGGAAGAGATGACCTGTCCTGTGTCTTTACAGAGCTCATCTCGTCCTGCCTACAGAATGCTGAAAGGCAGCTAATACTCCAGGCTGTTGCTGGCCACGGACCTAACCCAGCTGCTTCCTGTTCACCAACTATAGCACAGGCAGAAAGGGTTAAGCCCTATGAATGCATAGTGCACCAGGGCCCAGGGAACCCAACTGTAGAGGCTTCAGCAGCCACAAAGTGTAGCCTAGGGTTGCCACGTGTCCGGTATTGAACTGGACAGTTCGGAGTTTTCGCCTCCTGTGTGGTAAAAAAATTCAGAAAATACCAGACACCTAAAATGTCCGGTACTTTCTGATTTTTTTCCAGGCCAGGAGGCGAAAATCCTAGGCTGTCCGGCTCAATATGGAGGCAGCCTGGCAACCTTAGTGCTTACTGGGTTCCGCAGGGGAAATGTCCAGCACCGCGCAGGGAGGCAAGATGGCAGGCGGCCTCCAGTAGTCTGTTAGGGCCAAGAAGCCTCACCACACGTTTCTTAAAGGGGCTACGCTGTGGGTTCTGTGGGGGTTATTTTTGTTGTTTTTGGCGCTTAACAACTCTTGGGGTCCTTTTTTTTTAGTTCGGTATTTTTTCTGAAACCACCTGGCAACCCACTCTAGCCAGAGGGGTGGCATGGCCAGGACAGGGTGCTTAGAGGACAGAGTAGGGCCTATGGTGGGCTAAGAGCGTAGTAGGCCCCTATCCAGGAAGCTACTGTGGAACCTGCAGGTTGAGGGTGGAAACAGTCTGGAAATTGCCTTCACCCCTGCCACTCCAGAGCCTGCATGCAGCAGGAGCTGAGCTGATGGACCGGCAGAAGGAATGTCCTGGTTTACTCTGCCATCAGCCTGGCACACCCATCCCCATTATCAGCCACTGGACCTCCTTATTCACCACTGATAAGCAGGTGGCTGGTAAGCAGTGATCTCAATGAGCAGGACCCACTGTAGAAAAGTGGGCACAATTTTTTCATTTAAAAAAAAAAAAAGGTCAAAACAGCTGCAGGAGGCCCAAATACAGGATTGTCCCTTAAATGGAACATCTGCTCAGCCTAGCTGAAGGTGGCCTCCCAAGAATTTTTTAAGCTTTAAGTCTGTGCCCATTTTTAGCTTCTTTGTGACATATAGCGAAAGCCTGAAAGGCGGATTTGTTTTAAATATTGGTCTTTTCTTCCCCAGAGGATTGTGAAACCTGTCCCCTGGTTGTTGTGCAGGACAACTTAGGAGTCTCAGATGTATCTTGTGAGCTTTCACTGTTTTTAATGGAAGAAGTAGGACACTGAACTTTTCACAAAGAGGCTCTCTCAGAAATGTTCATGAGCTATTGATAGGGCTGCCAGGTGGTTTAACAAAAAATACCAAACACCTGCCCCTCCAAAAAAAAAGGAAAAAAGTCTGTCAAGGAAAAAAAAAGGGGGGGGGACCAAAGTTATTAAGCAAAAGTTGCACCAGTCCCTCCAGTTTGAGCCCACACACTAACTCCCAATGCACCCACCCCTCCCCCTGAGCCAGGCTCCCCAGATTCCCCATCCCAATGCACTCACCCCTGCCTCAGACCCAGGCCCCCCCCGCACCATCCTCCAATCTCAGTTCACTCACCCCTCCCCCTGAGCCAAGCATCCCCAGCTCCGGGAGCACCCCGTCCCAATAAAATCCACCCCCTGCAGAGCCAGGCACTGGAGGAACGGGACAGCCGGGTAAGTTAATCTTACTTTTAAAGTGGCTGCTCCTGCTGCCCAGCCCAGCTGCCTCGGCTCACACTGCGTAGAGGGAGGCATCATGGGTCTCTGCTGGTCACGTGGGCCAGAGCAGTGTGCGCTCCGCTCCCACCCCAGCTCAGCGCCTCCTTAGGGTGGCGCCTGGCAAGTGCCCCCTACTGCCCCACTTCGCTACGACTCTGCCACGCTCCTCACTCCCCCGCCAGACTCGGCAGGGGAAAATTGTCCCCGCCGGGCTTCCATCCAAGGGAAACAGGAAATACCAGACATTTCACATGTCTGATATTTTCTGTTTGTTTTTTTAACTGGACGGATCCTGCAAATACCAGATTGTCCGGGTGAATATCGGACACCTGACAACCTTAGATATTTATTTTAAATGGGTGTTCCCTCTAAACTGCTCAGGGCTGACTGACTGGGCAGGGCTGATTAATCCCCTGTGAAGCTGTGCGGCCATGCAGCTTAGAGGGAACACTGGTATTAACTGGAAATCCCTCCCTGCCTCCCTCAACTAATGGTGGTTCAGTGTGATGTGATAATTCCATTTGTTCTCAATCACCAGAGAACAAATCACCTCAGGGGAAAACAGACCTGAGCTTCTAATACAGAATGAAGCAGAAAAGAAAACTAAAGCTTCTGGAGAGGACATTGGCTGCCAACCTGACCTGCTCAAGACAATGTCTTCATGTTTGGTCCAGTCAAACTGAGCAACTGGCTATTAAGCAGCCTGAATGTTCATAGTCTTAGTGGGCCTTATATAACCTACACACAAACACACCCTATATATAAAGCGCCAACAAATGGGAAGTGTGAAGCTCCCTGACAGGTGTACATTCAAATAAGGAGAAGTACCGATGACTCAGATAGCTCACTATTCACCAGGGTCTGCATACGACACTTTCAGATTGTTTAATCGTATTTATTATTTAAAGCAAAGGAAAGGGTGCAAAGAGGGAGCTCTCTGTAGACAATGGAAGCTATAATGCGACACCATGGGCTCCCCGTAAGAATTCTGAAATGCATTCAGCATTGCTACCCAACTATGGCCCAAATCAGAGAATGCCAGCAGAGAGAGATGCAGTTTAGCGGGGTTCTGTTGCAAAGATCTCTGCTGAGCCAATGCTGTGCATGCATGTATCCATTTATTTAAAACAAGAGAGGCCAGATGTTAGGTATCCAGGGAAATAGATGGTGACTAACTACATATATTACTAGTTTCCTTAAATATATGTGAGCATTGTGGTAGTCTCTCCAACCTGGAAGATTTCTAAGGCCAGGTCTATAGTAGGGGAGAACGTTGACGTAAGATATGCAACTCCTGTTACAAGAAAAGCATGGCTTAAGACAACATACCTTAAGTTGAATTTCTGCGGCATCCCCATTGTGAGAGGTTGACAGAAGAAACTCTCCTGTAGACTTCCTTTACTCCTTGCAATCTCATAGAATACCGGGGTCGACGGGGCACTGCCATCCATGTTCAATTTATCAGGTCCTTATCAGACCCGTTAAGTCAAGCCCCAGAAGATCAATCCCCAGAGCATTGATTTTGAGGAAAGTATAGACAAGGCCCAAGTGTTTAAAATAAGGGCTATTGTAAGTAACTGTACCTGATGCACAGTGCTGAATCCTGCAGAATTGGTCAGGCCATTGGCTCCTTGGTAAATCCCTGATGTGCCTGTAGAAAATAAATATCACATCGACAGTCACACACCAGTAGGAATAATACATTTATCCTACCATACAGTAAATAAGTCTAGAAAGCTTGGGAATTACTATTAATGGCAGGATTTGGGCCACTGCTGATTTCAAAGATAACCACAAAATCCACTTAAAAAAATATGTAATGGAGCCAGGAAGCAGATGCACACTGAAGTGGGAACACTTGGATAAGAACAAGTTTGCAATATGGGTCCTTGTTTTGTGCAACATGATTTGTACTCTTCAAGAAACATCAGAACAGAACTTTCAAAACGCTTTCCTAATGGTGTCTCTAGATTTTACATCTTCTCATCCACGCAATGTCCCACAATTGTACATCCCATCAGTTGTTTGTGCAAACAAAGACTTAGGGTGCAAGCCAAATGCTCCGCAAATGTGTGTCTTGGTAAACCAAGTACACAGGCAGTTTGAAAATTTGGCGCTATGCACCTCTTTTCAGGGTTAGCATCTCTTTGCCAAGGTTCTGGGAAAACAGGGATTGGAAACATTGAATGCTTAGTCCTCGTTATTAGGGGGAGGGATGAATGCCTCATGTCACTCTTGCATGGTTTCCTCTGGTTGATATTTACATCTTCCAGGGGTGGGGAGGGAGGAAGAGCTACTACATCTGCAATGCAGGGTGTTGTGTGCAGAAGACTCAGAATTCAGCTCAAGGATGGAAGGTGGAATTGGTTGTGGTGCAGAAACAGAATATCCTAGAGCTTCCCATCTTCTAGATTCTGCCACCTGAAGATGTCTGGAGTGTTGTTTTAATTGCAAAGTCTTAGCTTCAAGAATTCTCTGGAAAACTCCTCTTCCTTCACCTTTTGTAGAGTAACAATAGCTCAGAAATACGTGATTTGTTCCCTAATTGAACAATTCTGTTTCTAAGCTCCCCTCCTACGTAGTACAGAGCAGAAATCCAAAAAACACACAGTGCCCTATCTTGATGGAAACTTCGACAGAGCCAGCCTCCAGAAAGCATTGGATTTTGTGACCCATTATCTGTGGCAGCCTCACCTCCATATTAAGGATGAAAGCAGCTGTAATCTGCAAGTGAGTGATTTTGTGCTCCTGCCAGGTTGTCACTATGGCCCTTGGCTAGGCATAATTTCATCAGCTCTTTATTTTATTAGACTATAATCTGAGGAGTCTAATTGCAGATACGCATAAGAGCATCATTTTTTGAACTCCGGCTAGTGCTATGTGAATTGCTCTCTTTTTTTGTTAGGATATTTATGCCCAGTGTTGCTCTACCCAGAAGTTGGAAACAAATGCCTCTCAATGTCTTCATGCGGTCTCCTTTCTCCAAAGATCAGCTTGTTTGTTTTTATTTTAAGACCTTAGATTAGCTGAGGAATGGACAGCTGAACAAACCACAGCCCACCAAGTGTAGTCACAAAAGCACATGCAGTGAGAAATAAATCTCATGCCAAAAAGAAACAAGGAGGAGGATCTGCCTCCAGAACTAATTTGTCTCCACATGTAGCCTTTAAAAGCCTTACCCTCCCCGCCCCCCAAAAAAAGTGGGAAGCAGAGGGGAAAGGAGGAAGGATGAGTTGATCAAGAGCTAACGTTTTCTTCCAATGAAATCCCCTGCAAAATTCCACCCTCTGCCAACCCACATTATTCCACATATATGACAGATGGTTCAGATGCTGGAGAAATACATCAGAGAACCTGCAGGTATTAATATCTTTGTTGTTGTTTTCTAGTGAAACAGGCCTATGCAGAAAGAATGTCTGTGAGTAAATCCAAATCTGAGGCTACCTCTACACTGAGTTTTTGCAGCAGAAGATATGCTAATGAGTCACGACATCATCAGCATATTTTCTGCCTTTTCTTTTTGCACAAGGCGTTTTGCGCAAAAAAACTCTGGGAGAGTCATAAGGATCTTGTGCAAAATGGGGTTTTTGCGCAAAACGGAAGTGGCTCCGCTGCTTCTTTTTGTGCAAAAACCCCTTGCTCAAAAAGCAGCAGCAGAAAATATGCTAATGATGTTGTGACTCATGCTAATGAGTCCCTCATTAGCATATTTTCTGCCCAAAAACTCTCAGTGTAGACAAATCCTGAGAGATTAACAGGCCAGGCCTGGTTTTTAAACAAGCAATGCCGGTAATTGCATGGGTCCTTGAATACATTCTGTGGTTCAGATCTCAGTTTGTGTAAATGCTCCATGTTCACTGAAGTCCACGGCTGAGGATCTGAGCCAGAGAGTCATGCCCTGGTGGCATTAGAAGAAGAGATGTCACATGAGCAGATTTCACCTGCAACTGGTGGTTTTGGAGGACCATGGCAACTTGCTGCCAAATCCTTCCCTCTCGAAATGGTCAAGCCATCCCTCCTCCAGCAGCTTGGCAGAGTATTTCTATACTTTAGCACAGCACCCTGAGCTAGACATTCATCCCACTCTCCGTTGTGTCATTTCTTCCTTGCACATTTTTATTTTAAATGTCTTAATACTAAACAGGATGAACAGATTCCCCTTGAGTCTCTCTGAGCAGTGTGTGAAGGAGAGTAATTGAGTCCCGATGCTTATAGGCAAATAAAACTTTCACAGAGCCCAGAACAGCTCTTGCACACCAGAACTCAAAACAATACACCAGGGAATTTCTGATCTTCCTAAACTGTCATCTTAAAATGATCCATCATCCTTTATTAAAGCTGTCAAGAGGGGGATGAGTTAGCTCAAGGGACCCATGGTCTATGTGTAAATTGTGACGAGAACATGTTTATTGCTGTGCTACTTACAGATAATACCGCGTTCTCCTGTTTTCCAAACCATTAGAGGTAATTATATAAAACTCAAAATGTAATATGGGAATGAACTTGCCCTGAACTTTGCACCTGCTGTATAACCAAAGGGTGTGTGGGGGGGAGGCGAAATTGCAGGGGTAGTGTGTGGGAGAGCTGAGCTTCATGGCCTTCAATCGCATTCAAGACCAGATTCTACCATATGGATTTCACTACTCCAAAAACAATATAGTGCAAAAATAAAAGTGTTAGAGAGTTAATGTCTCTCAGGAAATTTCTGCTCACGACAACTAAAATATTCTGCACACAAACATATTTTAGCAATATCTCTTCCCAGACATGTGCAATGGTACTCTCTCTCCCTATGGGATTTTAAAAGGAAAGACTTGGAAGAAAAAAACACCTTTCTAATTCTGTAATGTTCTCCTTCAGTGAATTTAGTGAAGGCCGAAAGAGGCTAGACTGACAAACTGGAGAAATGAATGCAGGGTACAGGCAATGCACACTTCCCACACACATACACTGCCTTCCAACAGTGGGTCCCAACCCTGACTAGAAGCATCCACCTCTTGGAGATTGGAGTTCAGTCAATACTCAGCATCTTTGCTCTGACTGCGAGTCCCTGCCAATTGTGGGAGATGCAGAATTGACTCCTGTCTGCTGGGAACCGGACCAAGACACACTGTCTTATTGCACATTTGCCACCAAATAGATATTTACTTGGTAACGTCTTTCAGTTGACGAGCTGGATTTGAACCAGCAACTTAGCTCTGTATTCCATTCCTAAAATCTTGCACTTGGTTGTCTTAATTAGACCAAAGTTAACCATCTTGTTCCTGCTCCTATCGTGTATCACACTGTCCAGGTAAAACACCAGCTGTGTGCTCTGCAAATGCCAACTGAGCACAGCCTTCTCCTAATACCCTGCAATAGCGGCTGCCAAAAGAGCTGGCTCCAACAGAATATACACCTGGCAATGCTTTTGTGCCAACAATAAACCTATAATCAAAACTTCCATGCTGCTCATTCACAATAAAAAACTTGAAATTTATGGAATGGCCAATTCTCAAAGATTTGGATTACAATTTTTTGTCATATTTAATTTCAACTTGGTTCAGTATTACCCTGTCTTCTCCTGCACTGTCATAGTGCCTCATGGGAGTTGTAGTTCAAATAACTCCTCATTCCATTCTCTTCTCTTCCCTGGACAGACTACCTGTCCCATGATTTTTTGGGGGGGGATGGTTTTCACCCTGCTTAAACTGTTGTGCTGTACATGGAAGATGTAGTCTAGCCAGAGAACTCAGCCCAGCAAAGAGACAGGAAGCAACAAGCATGAGGCACTGCAACATTCAGGAGAATACAGACGAATGTTGACCTAATCCAAAATATTTTGTTTCAGTTTTTTCAGACTGAAAACTGAAAAAAAAAATTAAAATAAAAAAATTTGCTGCAAACAGTTTCAATATTGTGGAAACATTTTCTACTACCGAAAAACAAAACAAAAATCAAATCAAAACAAAAGAAACAAACAAAAAAACGCCACAAACCAGAACATTCTCCATGAGTTCTAACAAGTTTGACACTATCAAACGAGACCTACCCATTAGCAAGTACCTTTCTTCCCCTCCTTTTGTTTCCTGTCATCTGTCTGTTGATGCCAAATGCTTTCTCAGGTGGTAGGTTGTGCTCTGATAACCAGCAATGGCCTCTAGAAGCTTCTGAAAAGTTTAGTTTGTAGATGGTGGGGAGGGAGGGAGAGCGGTTTCTTAGAGTCTTTGAGACGTGTCCTATATTTGGAATGCCCAGGCTCTCATCACTCAACTGATGCTGCCCTGTTGTGTAAGGCTATTGCTTTCAGATGCTCCTAGTGGATGGCATAGTATCTCCCAAGCTTGACTTAATGGCAATTGACTGATCTTTAATAGAGTATGAGAAAGTAACAGCGATGGGCCAAAATAAAATAGCCAGAGCCAAAGCCCCCTCAGTTGTGGGGACCTCAGCCAAAGTTGTGTAAAACTTGAGCCAAACGCTGTAGCTCCAGCTAGGGTTGCCAGATGGTTTAACCAAAAATACTGAACTCCGCCCCTGGAAACAACAACAACACACCAAGACAAAAATTCTGGTGAGAAAAAAGAAGGGGAAGACCAAAGTTGTTGAGGGGGGAAAAAAAAAACCTAGCATGGCCCCTTTAAAAGGAGGCTTTTTTTTTTGCCGGCGGCC